TGTAAGCCTGAATTTGATTAGTTTCAGCAGATAAAAAATTGTCAAATTGCTACAAATTTAAGTGTTTACTTTGCATTTCTATACTTAACCTCACTGTCAACCATAACCAGTTTGTGGACCAGTAGTAGTAGTCTGTGGACTATACCTTGAGTTATTGGTTCAAACCATTAACCAGTGCCTAGGGGGACTACTGATTATTACATACTTCAAATAAGGTGTTGGGTGATTTGTCTTAACCCGGAAAAAAATTTTTTGGAAGTTCCTGTGAGTAAATATTTGTTGAGTGAAGGTAATGGAGTACACAAATGGGGTGTTCTGAGGGGGAAGGCTCATCATTATTTCTAGAAGAAATGGTTTATATGTGTATTTGGGTTGAGAATTGCTGAGAAATCTTGAATGTTCCAAACCGTGGGAAAGCGCATCATGATTTTGAAATTTAAGCAATGTAGACTTGAACATGATGAGGAGAATCTAAAGTTTAGTCAGATTTATTGAAAACATCACAGAATGATGCTAGATCTGGGAAATATTTACGTCTATAATATTAGGATTGTCCCATAAGATTAATATTATACCTGTGCTAGTTTTTGCAGAATGTAGTAAAAAGCTACCTGACATTCTTTGCAGCCAATTGTTAGACTTTTCTTACCCTTGCTTGCTTTTTTTCTTCACTTTCAACTTTCTCTTGTTGCTATGACAGTTTATTCAGCCCTGGGTTTGCTAAATTACAATACTGAACATTTTTGTTTGAAGCTGATAAACTGAGCAAATCTTAAACCAGATTTAATACTTTGCTCTCAAATTGGTTATCTTTTTCTGTTCCCTTACTTGCCATTTGTATTTAATCTCTTTGACCTTCTAGTTAATGGCTTTCATTGCCCCCAAGATGAAAGCTACACTTTTAGCCTGACCTCTGAGGCCTTTAACAATCTCACTCCAACCTACCATTCTAGCTCTGGTTTCACGAACCCTCTCTTTCAGCCACATTGGTTACTACCTGGATGAACACAGCACCATCCCATGGCCTCACTCTTACTCCCTATTCTACCCACCTAAAATGTGTTACACAATGCTTTTTCAAGGGAAGATTGCCTATTTTAGGTTAAAAATGTGTTTGATTACTTTGAGATTAGCCATAATCTGCTAAATTAGCCTTTACTTTTTTGTCCAGGTAGTTTATAAACCTAGAAATGTTAGTCATTTAATTTTTTTCCTTTTAATTCCTCAGTAGAACCTGAGATTGGTCATTTAGAATGTAATTTCCAGTGAAATTTGCTCATTGAGAAAACACCAGCCTGAGAGAGTAGAGAGAGGAATATGGTAGGATTTTGCAGTAGAGTTTTGTTTTTAAACTGAATGCAAACTTAAAACTATTTAGTGTCTATAGGAAGCAACCTTAAAAATAAGGTTATATATCTTAAAATAGAACTTGTTTCTTGAACTATTTTTTAGTTCCCATATAGATCATACGAAAAGAAGACTGTCTATGCCCAATAAAAATTTTTATGGTATTTCACATCATTTGTTTGAAAATCTAATATGTTTATATAATTAAAAGTGAAGACTAAAGATTTTAAATTAGTATACTTACTGATTCATACATACACACACATTTCAAAATGTGTAGCTCCTTTTTTAAGTTGTTGGAAAAGTACAAAATTATGTGTCCTTTTTTGTTTTGTTTTGTTTTGAGACGGAGTTTTGCTCTTGTTGCCCAGGCAGGAGTGCAGTGGCACGATCTCTGATCACTGCAATTTCTGCCTCCTGGGTTCAAGCAATTCTCTTGCTTCAGCCTCCCGAGTAGCTGGAATTACAGGCACACGCCACTGCGCCCAGCTAATTTTTGCATTTTTAGTAGAGATGGGGTTTCACCATGTTGGCCAGGCTGGTCTTGAACTCCTGACCTTAGGTGATCCACCTGCCTCGGCCTCCCAAAGTGCTGGGTTTACAGCACTGAGCCACCGTGCCTGGCCAATTATGTGTTCTTAATATGAAGACTAGTATCAGTTACTTACAGTGCGACTTTTATTTTAATTCAAAATAACACTTTTAAAATTCTAGAAACTGGATATGTTTTTCCTGAGTGATAACTTGCTTTTAATTCCTATATGTCCAAAGATTTGATGCCATCTTAGTCTTTCATCATTTTCCCAATAATGAAAAGAATGGAATAACATAAAAGAAGGGAAAGTACTACATTATTTTGGACACCTTAAACTTGTAATTAGTCATATTGTAACTCACTGTTTATGTGCTGCTGAGGTGAAAGGTTTAAATAAGTGTTGTGAATGGTTTATAGTGAGGATTTTGAGCTTGTGAATAAATATAAGAGAATTTACAGTGCTATTTAACTTTGAGAGGAAGAATATCTTTTACTGGCATATTCAACATTGAAAACCCCTGTATGCCTAACCTTGTGGTAGGACCATCATTATGTGAAACCCCAAAACATATTATAATCATTGCTCCTTTAAACTGTTAATGGTCGTTTATATAGGATATTTACCTTTTCAAGTGCTTGTCATTCTTTTTGCATCTCCATCTGGGATCTTTTTTCTGCAGGCTGAAGACTTTTCTTTGGTATTCCTTTTTGGATCTGAGAGAGAGAGGATTGTTTCTTTTTCTTTCTTCCCCTTTCTTCACTGGGTCTCACTGTATTGCTGAAGCTGTTTTCAAACTCCTGGACTCAAGCAGTCCTCTCGCCTTGGCCTCTCAAAGTGCTGGAGTCACAGACATAAGTCCCTGTACCCATTCTACTTATGTTTCACAAATACTGTGCAGTCTCTAGTTTTGGCTCAGCTGTTCTTGTTCTCTGTTAGGCCAACCAGAGTTACACTCTGAAAGTGCCAGTTTAGAAGTTAGCCAAAAACCTGTGAGGGATATTTGCATATATTGAGGAGCCCACTTCTCATCTACAGCAGTTTTTCTCTGGTACCCTGTCCCCTAAAGCCTACCTGCCTGCCAGTCTCTCATTGTTTTCATTGAGACTCCCATTGTCTGCCTGGAAACCCATCATTAATTTTAAGCTAGTGGGATAGGAAATGGCATTCAGTAATTATCATCTGTTTGAACACTTAAATTTACTGGTAAGTGAATGTTGATAAAAATGTTTGGTTTTAAGGCATTAATTACTGTATGTCAATTTTCAGGCCTTAACCATTCTATGTAAACATTTAAATTTATTCAGTTAAGTAATGAAGTCAATAAATTCCTATTGGATTAAGTACTGTGATTATTGAGTGAGATCAAGACAGGGTGTCTGTTCTGGGTGACTTTATAGGCTAATAGAAATTCTTATACATGTCATATGTTGATAAGAAAAAACATATCTGTTAGGAGGCCGAGGTGGGAGGATCGCTTGAGCTCAGGAGTTTGAGACCAGCCTGGCCAACATGGTAAGACTTTGTCTATACTAAAAATAAAAAAGAATTAGCCAGGTATCGTGGTGCCTATCTGTAGTCCCAGTTACCCTTGAGACTGAGGCAAGGTGGTGCCTATCTGTAGTCCCAGTTACCCTTGAGACTGAGGCAAGAAGATTGCTTGAGCCAGGGAAATTGAGGCTGCAGTGAGCTATGATTACCCACTGCACTCCAGTCTGGATAACAGAGTGAGACCCCATCTCTAAGAAACATAAAATACGGGAAAACCCATATTCTTTCAAATAAATATTTACCACCTTTCTGCTCTCTGAGGTCTTTTAGATAATAAATATTCGAGTTACATATCTTATTATGTTAACATAGATCTCTATTGTTTGCTGCTTCAGTCTGATTTCTAAACACTTGTTGCATTGCCCTTTTTTTGGTATCAGTCTTTGTCCTAGTGCCTTTCTTTGGCTTTTTTCTTTTGTTGACAATTTATGATAGTATGAAGAGCTACATGGAAGAATGTGGTGAACACCTATTTTAAATTACTGTCCCCAGGCTTGTTTTCTTTCTGATATTTTTAGATGACAATGTTAATTATGCCTAGCCTAAGAGAAGATTTAAGTTCAAGCCAATGTCCATCTTGTTAGGGCCCACTGAAAATATTAAGCTGCCAAACTTTTAGGTTACCATAGGGTAAACAGTATGCCATGAAGGTAAGACCTGCATATCATTGACTTGATCACTTTACAAAGCTTTTTTGTCATCATAATATAGTTTTGTTTTGTTTGTTTGTTTTTGAGACAGGGTCTTCCCGTGTTGCCCAGGCTGGTCTCAAACTCCTGGTCTCAAGCAATCCTCCTGTTCATCTCCCGAGTAGCTGGGATTATAGGGACGCACCACTGTGCCCAGTGATATAGTTGTTATACTCTTGAAACTTTAGTTTTAATCCTCTATCCTTCCTGATACCCCCTTCAATACCATATGCAGTATCTCAATATGATGGTATGTTAAGAAAAATAGCAGATTTTCCCAACTTTGTTGCATAGTCTGTGACTGTCTTCCTGCTATTTAAAAAAAAAGTGCAAGTGGAAGGATAACTATAAATATCATTACATTTTCAGATTTGAGAAATCCTTTTCTTTTTGCTCTTAATGAAGAGATATGAGAGTAGAGAATGGTTCTTTAGAGGTTGGTCTGGGTGGTCTGTTTTATGAAGCAATCTGCTTTAATTCCTTCTTAAAAAATATCAGTGCCGGGCGTGGTGGCTCATGCCTGTAATCCCAGCACTTTGGGAGGCCAGGGTGGGCGGATCACGAGGTCAGGAGTTCAAGACCAGCCTGACGAACATGGTGAAACCCTGTCTCTACTAAAAATAGAAAAATTAGCCAGGCATGGTGGCACACAGCTGTAATCCCAGTTACTCAGGAGGCTGAGGCAGGAGAACTGCTTGAACCTGGGAAGAGGAGGTTGCAGTGAGCCAAGATCGCACGATTGCACTCCAGCCTGGGCAACAGAGAGACTCTTGTCTCAAAAAAAAAAAAAAAATTATCAGCATGTCAGTTCAGGTTTAGTTAGAATATTGCTGTCATAGATGTCTTAAGAAATTTAATGTTTTATATTATTTTCCACTAGGAAACCACCCCTACTCCTAATCCCCAGACTACGGAAGAGGAGAAAACGGAATCTAATCAGGAGGTTGCTAACCCAGAACACTATATTAAACATCCTCTACAGAACAGGTAAGCTTTCTGACACTTAGGTTTTCTGAGTTAGGCCACAAGGTAAATGGTGAATAGGGCAAGTTTGAAGGCAAAGTTAGATTATGAGACTAGTTTTAGATATGCTAAGGTTGAGGGTTCTGTTTTCATTTGGATGATCCATGACCAGCAGACAGTTTCATGTGTGAGTCTTGAGTTCAAAAGGAACTATGTGAGAGATTAGTTTGAAAAGTATTGGTCATAATGGAAGCCACATTAGTAAATAAGTTCCCTTAAGGAGAAGTGCACTTGACTCATGACAAAGACCTGGGATACTAGCATCACATAGGGGGCTTTTGTTGAAGAAGAATACCTATGAAGGATGGACATACAAAGACAGTGGTGGTTGCCCAGCATGGTGGTTCTTGCCTATAAACCCAGCACTTTAGGAGGTGGAGGCGGGCGGATCACCTGAGGTCAGGAGTTTGAGACCAACCTGGCCAACATGGTGAAACCCCGTCTCTACTAAAAATACAAAAATTAGCTGGGCGTGGTGGCAGGCGCCTGTAATCCCAGCTGCTTGGGAGGCTGAGGTGAGATAATTGCTTGAACCCCGGAGGTGCAGGTTGCAGTGAACCAAGATCGCGCTCCATCTCACACACACACAAAAAAGACAGTGGTGGTCATGGAAACCAAGAAGGTGGTTTGTTCTAAGATAGGGTGTAAGTTCATAGCACATGCTAAAAAGGTCAAATGAAGCAAGGTGTCAAAATATCCATTGATTTGAACACTTTTGTAAAAGTCCCTACTGACTTAGGAAAAAGTGTTTTAGTGTAGTTCCATAAAACATGGAAAAAAAGATTAGGTCAGTTTGAAGAGTGAATAGGAGATATACAGATGTATAGAGGAAGAACAGGTGACTTGAAGCTGGACTGAGAATGAGAAAGGAGAGCCAGGGAATGTGGAGTTTGAAGATTGGTTGGTTTGTAACTGAGAGACGAGAGGAAAAGGGTACAGATTAAAATTAGTTAAGTTTTCATAGTTAACAGTGTAGCAGGCAATTGAGTATTAGTTCATTATATGGCTTTTCCCAACTCTTCCCACTCCTTTCCAGTAGATTTGTTTTTATTTATTTTCTGGGGTATGTGAGAATTAACTTGAGTTCACTGAATGCTGATGGTGGGAAGAAAATGGCTGTTTAGAAACATTGTAACAATGTAGAGGAAAGTAAATTGGAATTAACTTCTAAGGTTCTTTCAATTCATTTCCTTGTCTTTTTTTCTTTTTATTTACTTTTTTTAGGGCAGACCATTCACTCTCTACTTAAAAGAGTCCACAAATCTATTTATAATTTAGTTTCATTTATTAAAATTTTTTTTATGATCTTAATTTTTTAAAAATGTTTCCTTTATTCGTCATGGAAGACCTAGTGAAATAAATAGTTCAAATATGCTGTATGCAGTTTTCTCATAGGAGACCCTTTGGTACAGTATTTCCTCTAATGAGGAACAAATCAGTTTTTTAGACAATGGAGATTGTCAGCTAGTGGGATATCAGAGGTCAAACAGTCTATAAAGGATAAAATCCTTCCTCAGGAAAGCAATGTACCACATGTATTAGGTTGAACAATTCATTAGTGGCAGTTTTATATAGTTTAACCTAATAGTAGCACCAAAAGCCACATTTTTTTTTTTCACTTTTTTCAGTGATATAAAACAAACTCTGTATATCTTCTAGCTGTCTGTGAACCCAGTTCTTGGTGTCGCTCTTATTGTGGGGAGAAGTAAAACAAGGCGTATATCCCTCACTGCTTGAATGGAGTCTAAGAAGGGATTCTTAAGTGTCCTCATCAGTTTGGAAAACAAACAAAAAAAAGTTTAAAGCTTAAAATGAAATCCCTGGGGACTTCAGTTTCTCTATAAATTCTACTTTTTGTGTAAAATAGCAAGTATCATTTGGAAAAGTACTATGTTTTATGGCTCCAATGTTGGCAGTTTTCTTATTATTCACTTCTTGCGTTTTACTTTTCTTTACTCCCCAGAGTAGTCAATGTTAAATTTGGTTTGTATTCCAGAAGTATTAAATGCACATATGTATACTTTTTAATACAAATGTCTATACGGTTGACTTTTCTGTTTGTATGTGCAGATTATACCTCATAGTTTTAAACTGCCGTCTTTTATTATATTCATATACAGCCATGTATTTTATTAGGCTTACATTAATGGCTGTATAGATTTTTCTTTTTACACACAGTGCTGTAATTTACATACTTATATACTTGTGCACTTGTGTGAATATATTTATAGGGTAAAATTTTAGATCTTCTAGAACAAAGATTACCCTTTAACAACTTTTGCGCAGATACTGTTGCATTATTCTGCTTTATTGACTTAGACTTAATAGTTTGAGAGTTCCTGGTTTCTACGTCCTTGCCAACTTGTGTGATTAGTCTTTTAAGTTGTTGCCAATCAGGTCGGTCCCAGTCTGATTTGGGAAAACAATTTCAGTATTTTCAATTTTGCATTTTAAAATTGAAGTTTCAAAATATTTTCATATTGATGATTTGTGGTTTTTATCTAAGGACAGATTATTCAGTTCTTCTATTTTTTTTTTTTTTTTATTTGGATTATCTCTTTTCCCCTACTTTCAAGCTAACAAGTTATGGAATATCTTTTCCAAGTTTATTTCCAAACATTTTGTATTACCGTGCTAACTCACCCAAGGCAGGGAAGTTGGAGGAGTATTAAGTCGGAAACAGTTTGTCCAAATCATTTGTCTTCTAACATTGACTGTGGAATTACAGGGTTTTTTTTTTTTAGAGGTCTTTAGTTTTCATGTAGGCAAATACTGCTTTTCCTCAGTGGCTTCTGGGTTTCATATCAATTTTAGGAAAACTACCACACAATTAAGCTTTTTTTTTTTTTTTTTAACTTTTTAATAGTTGCATAGTAGTCACTTGCATGGATGTACAATATTTTATTTAAATCAGCAGTACTCAAATATTTGGTCTTACAATCCCTTTACACTCTTAAATTATTGAGGACTCTACAGAGCTTTATGTGAGTTTTTATCTATTGTTATTTACTACATTTTTACAGTAAATAATGCTAAGGTGTTTTTTCACATTTAAAAATGAATATATAATTTCACCTGAAAAACTTGAGAAATGTAAAATTATTCGTTTAGAAAATTTATCCCATGTTAACATAAATGACATTTTATAATGAAAATATTTGAACTAAAAAATATATAATAGAAAGAATGGCATTTTTGCCATCTTTTTTTTGTTTTGTTTTGGTTTTGGTTTTGGTTTTTTGAGACAGAGTCTCGCCCTGTTGCCCAGGCTGGAGTGCAGTGACACCATTGCGGCTCACTGCCACCTCCACCTCCCAGGTTCAAGTGATTCGTCTGCCTCAACCTCCCGAGTAGCCAGAACCACAGGCGCGTGCTACCACGCCCGGCTAATTTTTATAGTTTTTAGTAGAGATGGGGTTTCACCATGTTGGCCAGGCTGATCTTGAACTCCTGACCTTGTGATCCACCTGCCTCGGCCTCCCAAAGTGCCGGGATTACAGGCGTGAGCCACCGCACCCAGCCACATTTTTGCCATCTTAGAAGTCAACTGGATTTTCATGGCTGTTTCTGCCTTCAGTCTGTGGAGTTAAGGTGTTTCATTGGAAGTATAAGAAGACAGTACAGCCTCACACAGGTATTTGGTTGGAAAAGGGAGAATAGTTTTTAAAAGCCTTTAAAAATAATTGTTGATATTATCCTTTGATACACTACTAGGTGTCTTCCCCCTCCCCTTTTTTCCTAGGACACATGCTCAAGAGATACTGGGTTTCTTAGAGATTAGTTGAAACGTGGAATCTGAAACCATATCCAAGAATTTGTTTCTACTTTGTTACATTAAAATCCATTGGTCTGTCTCACATCTGGAATGGATCTCTTACGTGTGTAAGATTTTTAACATCATACATTGCTTATTTGGAAAATAATTTTTCAGTGAGTTACGCAGATCTTCCAAATGTTGACACATTTTCTTATATAGTATCAAACAATAATAATTCATTAACATTACCTCTAAACTCATTAAGCATCTTTGGCACCTGCCACCATGCCCATCTAATTTTTGTATTTTTAGTAGAGATAGGTTTCACCCTGGTGGCGAGGCTGGTCTTGAACTCCTGACCTCAGGTGATCCGCCCACCTCAGTCTTCCAAAGTGCTAGGATTGTAGGTGTTGAGCCACCGTGCCCAGCCCAAAGGCATTCTTATATGAAACTCACATTATTAGTACTGTGAGAGTTGGTGGTAATAAATGTACAGTGACTACTCGTATAGTTTTGTGTCACTGTCTTGGTTCTTGCTAAAGCACCAGCAGATTTAACTACTGTTGCTTTTGCACCATTAGTGCAAATATGAATACTGAAAAGCAAAGTGACTTTTTAGCATTATTATGAAAATGGATCTTAGGGCCTCCTGCCTGTCTGCAAACCACATTTTGAGAACTGCTGATTTAAATAATTCGTTGTTGATAAGCACTTAGGATGTTTTCACATTTTCCAAAACTAAAAATGTCATTTGTTTGTTTTTGGAGACAGGGTCTCACTCTGTCACCCAGGCTGGGGTGGTGTAATCTCGGCTCACTGCAGCCTTGACCTTCTGTGCTCAAGCCATCTTTCCACCCCAGGAATGCATCACCACCCATTTTAGTATATTTTGTAGAGTTGGAGTTTTGCTATTTCCCAGGCTGGCCTTGAACTCCGGGACTCAAACAATTCATCCACCTTGGCCTCACAGAATGCTGGGATTACAGGCATGAGCCAACATGCCTGGACTTTTTTTTTTTTTCTTTTCTTCTTTGAAGAGACATGGTAGCATTCTGTTGCCCAGACTGGGGAGCAGTGGCATGATAATAGCTCACTGTAGCCTCAAATTTCTGGGCTCAAATGACCTTCCTGCATCAGCCTTCTACGTAGCTAGATCCATAAGTGTGCACCACCATGCCTCGCTAAGATTTTTTTTTTTTTTCTTTTT